CCTAGAAGATAAACCGTCAGAAACGGTCAAAATACTCCAACTGCGCATGCAGCACAGTTCCGGCACAGTTTGAGCACAGTTCGAGCGCTGTGCGGGAACTGTGCCGCTTTGTGCGGCTCAGTATGAACCCTGCCGAAAGGGACTTCTAGCCGACTCTGTTAAGAATTTACAGATCTTCAAATAATCGCACTCAAAACCAGATTTTCGTTGCATTTATTCTCCTGGCCAGAATTTGAGCGCAAATGAAGATGGTTTATCGAAAATATAGCCTCTATATGCATTGGAAATTGTCTACATTATGCATATTTGAACATATTTTTCGAAGTCATCTAAAGTGAGATATCGGCGGCTTAACATGGGTAATGGTTGTGGTCATTTTGGTGCCCATAACTTTCTCTTGTAGAATGCAGTCGCTCAAACTTTGCTCATCTCTGTAAGCGTGAGGGTAGAAATCCTATTAGCAGTTTTTGCAAAAACATCCAGCTGTTCAGTACGCAGAAAATTAGAAAATTCTATACTTTGGGGTTTTGAAACCTATTGAAAAAATGCTGAAAAAGTTGATATTTTTGAATTTCGATTTTCCCTCTTCGCTAATCTTTTTTTCTCCAAGCCCTTTCCATGTATGTTTGTACTACTGGCTTGCGGCCACAATAGGCTGCTTAGAAATTATAATAACAAAGTGTGAAAGGAGTTATGTTTTGTCAAAAACAAGACTTCAGAAAAAAAACTTTTTTTGTTTTTCAATCCATATTTTTCTGCCCATATGAGATATGAGTATAGCTCAATGTGCGCTGTACTGGGAAAGGTTCGCTGCATCTGAAGGTCCTTATCAAATTTCAAAATGTAGATTTTATGAAAAGTTATAGCAAGTTAAAGTGAAAAATGAGAAAACGCTCATTATTTTTGCCAACCTAATATATAAGTCCAGATGTTTATAGTAAATCATAGATGCTGCAAAATTGCGTGTGAAGGTCATACCAATTTTCTTGATTCGTAGGTATAGACTGCGTATGCATCTCATTATTCCAACTTAACCAGTATACATCACCGCTCATAATTCGTCAAAAAAGTCGCCGGAGTGCGGTGCAATCCGCCGGAATGCGCCGCAGTCCTGCGACTTTTTTTGACGAACTATGAGGCTGCGTTCAACCTGATTTCAAAATCCGGGAACAGTTTCACCACAGTGCTCATTGCAAGCGCTGTGCTGGAACTGTTCCCCGACTTCGGGATCAGTATGAACGCAGCCTGAGCGGTATTGTGTGTTATAGCCACCTATTCTGAGCTAGCTGTAAGGAAAACTTTTCGATGCTAGATTTTTCTGGTGATCACCAGGTTGCTGCATAAGCTCTGTCCCATTCCTGATGCTTTGTGTTCGAAGCAGCTGTTATAAATCTTCATCTTTGATGTTAAATAACTGTATCATCAAAAGAATTTCATTGCTCTTTCTCATAAATATAAAATTTTCAATGAAATCTTATTTAACATATTGACGAACGCAGATTTTTTAGTCGCCTGCCTTTCGGGACAGGGGCCTTTCATAGGCCGGGCAACATGTTTCAGATTGAACCACATATAGTCCTGGAGTGGGGTTATTCCAAGTCATCATTTCAACGAAATCAAATCTTGACATACTATGCTTTTCAAACAATACCATGCGGTAATCAGTATGTGTTAACGAGATTGCAGGCTTATGGTCCCAGAGAGTAAAATGCAACCTCTCCCAAAAATATCTTCTTCGAGAAAAAGCTCCACAAGTGTCTTCCAAGTCAAGTCCTTGTATGGATTACGCAATAAGGGTGTAATGGGTTGAAATATGCTCCAATTCGCTTTCAAACTTGTCTTGCTTGTGGAATTTGGTGTCGAGCACTAATACTTCGTTATAAATGTTTTTCACAAGCGACAGCACACGGATAGATGCAATTGATGAGGTGCTAGAGTAAAGCAAGAGATAGCAGAGAACATTCATCAATCACCCTTCACCACTTGCAACATTTGCAAAAATTTAGAAATTTGAAGATGGTACTATATTAGTGCACTAGAGCTAAGCTAAGAAACGGGTTTTTCGTTCGCTCGAAGAAAAATTTAACGACTCTGTAGCCTTTTGATGTCAAAACTGTTAAAATAAAAAAAACTTTAAAAAAAACTTAAACTAATACCTTCAAAATTTTCGCTATTCTTTGACGCCCATCAAATATGCCTGAGTTCATTCTATCTGATAGTTAAAAGCTTGCTCCAATTATTTATCGAAAAGTTGCTGAAAGAAGCTATAGTGTTTTAACCTTAAAAGGTGCAAAACGGACAGAATTTATGCACCAGACTAGTAAAATAACTTACAAAGTGGCTTTTTTCTGGCATTACTCGTGTGTAGCACATAAATCTGCGGTGTACACGCAAAAAAAAACACTTCAATCGCTCCGCTTTGTGACCCGCCACAAAGTACATAAAGCTGAGACTAAAAGCACTCGAAATCTCTTGATTTTCCTTCTTAGCTTCCTTCACTCTTTTTTAGAGTGATCAGTTATTATGGCTAAAAGAGCTTTGTTTTGTATTCAGTAACATTAGGCACTTGACACAAATAATTCTGAAATTCGCATTTTATCAAGCCTTCTCGAGGGCGTGTCCCCACTTTTCCTACAGGTACCTCCCTGAGAATGCACAATGCCTAATCAGACTCCCTTTGAAGCACCCTGGATGATTTGTTTGAGAATATTTAGCTATACAGGGTGTCCCAAAAGTATGTATGCACTGTTTGATCGTTAATATCTCTCTTCCCAAGAAGTCTTTTGCCTTGCTTCAGGTACCGTTCTGTAGAGCTGGCTTCAACTTAGATCTGCAGTACAGAACGGATCACCCATCTCTCTTGACTGTAGGATGACTGACGGTAGAAACATGAAACATATGGTGTCAATGTGGAAAAAGCTGCCGTTTCAAAAATTCTCAAAAAAATGTGAAAACTTGTCTAATAGGGTTTTTATGGACGCAGAATTCAAAACTCGACTATTCACAAGATTGCGAAGCTTTTCAAACTTGTAACCGCACCTTATAGGAACGTTGAAAAAATGGCCGCTACTTCTTACCTCGCATAACTTTTCAATGAAGCATCATAAAAAGTTGGGAACTTTACTGGTAGAATCAACAACTTTTATTAACCTAGTGTAAAAGTTTTCAGGCTGTTTTGTTTCCTTTCTGAGGCAAAATATGGCCTTTCATGGCTCAAAACCCTCTTCCCCTCTTTGAAGTTTCTACCGTAGTTCTACGGTAATCGAGAGAGATGGGTGATTCGTTCTTTGCTGCAAATCTAAGCTGAAGCCAGCTCTACAAAATGGTATCTGAAGCAAGGCAAAAGACTTCTTGGGAAGAGAGATATGAACGATCAAACAGTGCATACATACTTTTGAGACACCCTGTATATTGTTGTTCACAACTTCTTTCAAAATTTTGTTTAGTTTCCCAGTTTTTTTGAGTGAGTATGGGACAACAACTCGGTAGAACATCCTCAACAGCATTGTTTGACACGTAAAAATGATGGGCTTGCATTTACCTGAATGCGTGCCATAGGGCATTAATTCCTAGTGCCTAATATCCATGATAAAGGCTTAGGGGATAAGACAAATAATTCTTCAAATCAAAACTTTGAGCGGATTTCAATTATCAAGCCCGCCTTGCGCATCGCAGAAGTATGAAAAGCAAGGCAAAATAACAATGTTAAATTTCGAATCTTTCGTCACTTCACAAACTCAGAATTTTTCAGTATTATCTCTTCGAAATTTTCCGCTTTGGAACACGGTGTGGTTTACAGATTGTACCTAAAAGTACTGGACGTAGTGCGCTACTCTTTTGTTTGGCCATCTTCCGTGGATATTAGTGTTGCATTATAAATTTGGCTTCACTTTAGCAGAAAAGTACATTAGGTCACCGTAGCCTTTTCACTGAGGTACGTATGGAAACACTCTTCTCACGGATTTAATACGCTCTTCCAAAAGAAGTTATGAGCATCTTTTTTAAGGGAAGTCCGTTTGTTTATTAGATCACGCAATCATGAATGTTAGCCAAGTTTTCTACTCTGTGCTACGGGGCCACATCCGAGACTGGAAACCATTGTATTCGACTCCACTGTATTATATTGCAAACCATAGTGGCTAATATTTTATCTCGATCGCTTGTGCGACCTACCGCAACCAATTTTTTTATTTAAAATCTTTGAAAAGATAAAGATTTCAATGAGTTTTCTCTACAAACCAGCTGCGCAGGACAGCTGCGCAGCACAGCTGCTCGTTTAAGGGCACCGTCCACCCAGATTTTCGACTTCCAGGTTTTTGTCGTTTCAGGGCCTTCTCATGTCCCTGATTCCGAAGAAGTCGAGAATACGCCACAATCCAATGCCCAAGTCGCGGCACAAAGTGCCGTTTCGGAAGCGAGAAAATCGCTTCGGAAAAGCGAAGATGCACGAGGACCCCCATCCATGCCCGCCCTTCTCCATCCATGCCCGCCCACTTGTGCGCGCCTATCCAATCCCCGTTCCAGACGACAGGCCGGCTTTCCGGAACGGTGATTGGATGGGCGCGCACAAGTGAGTGGGCATGGATGCGGGGGGAGGGGGCATGGATGGGGTTCCTCGTGCATCTTTGCTTTTCCGAAGCGATTTTCTCGCTTCCGAAACGGCACTTTGCGCCGCGACTTGGGCATTGGATTGATAGGGGGCCCTACTATTATATGCTGCCAAAAGCTCAACACCCTCAACTTAGGATGGACGGTGCCTTTAAAGTCATCCAGTCAAGGTGTGACCCCGACAAGTGCTGCCCAATAGTCACTGTGTTTGGAGCAGGTTCAAAAGGGATTGCACCTTAAGAGGCAAAACTTTCCAATATTTATATGCTATGTCATTGTTGAAATAAACCATGAAACGATACAAAAAGTAAATTTTCAGGCAGAAACTAAGTTAAAAAGTATAGCAACGCATATTCTCTTTTCTTCTCTTGATTGTACAATAGCAACGCATATTGTACAATCAAGAGAAGAAAAGAGAATGATTTTCGGTAGATATAGGATTACTTTAACAAGCATTGTTTACTTTATTAAAATTTTCCGAAAAAAAAACAACAACCATTTTATTTGTCTATTTTATATGGGGGAAATCTGCAATAGCAGACTGGAGACCTCCTACATCTTCTCTTTCTTCCCGAGTTTTCGCACTTTCGACGCCGTACGCAGAATCCTTTCATTATCTTCTTGGTGCTCTGGAAAACATTTACTTGACGGTCTGTTGATCGATGCATCGATATATGCAAGGTTGTTGTAACAAATAGTGTTTGTTTTTGACAGCACAGTGTCCTGAAGTACATCTTGATGGTTTGGTTTTGTTTCAAGTGAACGCTACGCTGCTCACTGTAAGACAGAACGGAACTCTTCGGGCAAAAAACGCTTTAGCAATTTTTGCTCTCGTACTTCAAAATGAAAACGCTGTTGCTGTCAGATTTCGATTTTTTGCTAGAAATGTAAAATTTCAGTTCGACAACCGTTTCGATTGTTATTGGCAGTTTGATAAATTGTAACAGCCATTCACTGTGATGCGTACCGCTTTTAAAATGCAAAAGTTCCCAAATTTCTATACCAAGTTAAGCTAAACGATTTACAATCTCTCCATAAATTTTGAACAAATTCAAAATGGAGCTACTTCATAGTTAGGCTGCTGTTTTGGAAATTTTTTTTGTGCTAAGAAAGTTATATACATTTTTGAATGGTTCTCTAAGTAAACATAAGCGACAGAATTCTTTGTCTTCTGTCGTTAATCAAAGAAAATATTTACAATCGAATAGATTTCCCGCTTATTATAGTGTGCTTGCTCAATACTAGAAGATTACAGATACCATAGTTTTTGTAAATAATGAGATTCAGCTTCAAATGGTTTGATCGCTGCAAATGCACCTTTGGAAAATCAACTACGTTAAAAGAATCAAAACTGTTAGATTGTCCCAAAAGTAAATTTCTTTTTTCAACTATTCCATGCAAATTTACTCAAAGTCAACAGACCTCAATTAGTAAGGTATTCTCCATCGTGGTCCAACACCTCTTGCCAACCCCTGGGCAGCTGCTCGATTCCTCTTGCATAAAACTGTGGGGACTGGCGATTGAAAAAAGAATCGAGATACGCTTCGAGCTTAGCTCGATTCTTGAAGTGCTGTCCATCCAGTGTATTCTGCAGCGACCGAAAAAGAGGGTAATCGGTAGGTGCAAGGTCAGGGCTGTATGACAGGTAGGGTAGCACTTCGATGTCAAGCTCCTGCAGAATTCTGTCGTCTGTGAAACCGCATGGGGGCGTACGTTGTGGTGAAGAAGAAGAATTCTTCCCGCTCCTGAGCGCACTTGACGCTGATTGACCATCTCCCGTATTTGGCGATAGTAAACCTCGGCGGTAACTGTTGCACCGTCCGGTAGCAGCTCGTGGTATATGACGCCTTTAGTGTTTCACCAAATTGACAACATGACTTTTTTCTGATGTGGCTCGTTTTTGGGGTCGGGTAGACCTGCTTTACCTTTGCAAACCCACTGTCGCTTCCTGCTATGGTTAGCTTAAAGGCACCATTTTTCATCTGCAGTGACGACGTTTCGAATCCAGTCAGTTGTTCTCCTGCGGCTGAGCAAAGAAGTCGAGGTGCTGTACCTGGTCATCCTGAATACATCTGTCATTTGGTGTGGTATAAGTTGACCGTAGTTTGGGGCTCTTCCCCTTTCACGTAGACGCCTGTGCACCGTGATTTTGGGAAGGCCAAGGCTTGACGAAAGCTACACTCGATCTTGGCTCATCTTCTAAACTTCGCTCAACAGCTTGGTCAATTTCCAGCCGAGGTCGTCCTGACTTGGGCTTATTCTCAAGGTCATAGTCGCCCTGCTTGAAACGCTGGAATCAGGCCTTCACAACAGAGTACTGGAGGGTACTCTCGCCCATCACAGCACACAAGTTGTTGAGCTTCGGCTGCTCTGTGACCTTGGAGAAATTCGTAAAGTAAACTCAGGTTCTCAGAACGTGACGATCATTGAGCAGTATTTCTGCCATATTCGAAGCCTTCAGGATAAATATGAGATATAGCATTCTGCACTTCTTGGAAATTAGTACTTATCAAGTTGAGCAGGTTAGGTAGGATCTAGCGAAAGTTATCAGAGAAACTAAAAAAAAGAGTTTACTTTTGGGACTACCTGATAAAATGGTGGCATGACTTAGTTAAACGTGATAACAAAGCTTAATTAGCCTTGGTAAGACATTCCAACAAAGCTTAACTAGCTCGTAAGGATTTGGAGGACTTCTGCTTTTTACGCGCATAACAAAATGAGGCAACTTTGGAAACTGTGCAAACTTTTACGCAAGCAAGTGATGCTAGAGTAACTGACGATTGATATGTGAATTTCAATAAGTGAGTCAATCCAATTTTTACGCTTTCTGATCAACCATCAAAACTCAAGCAGTCACTCAAATATTGAAACTGAAAGACAATTTAGGTTGATTTTGAAGGATTTTTTGGCATTTTCTGGCGGACCATAATGCAACATTAATAATGGGCTGAAAGAGAAAAATTGAATGACGGTTTTTTTATCTATTTGCGAAAATGGGAAGTATCTGATGCGGTTTATATACAGCAGATTTGTATAAGCTATTAATCTTAAATCTTTTTTCCTTTCTTCAAACTGAAATGTGTTCAATAACCTTCCGTTAGCACGCTTATGATTTGAAAAATTTCAAACTTGATAATCACAATAAGATTAGCAGTTGTGCTATAGTGGTTTTTGTATCAAGTCGAACTCATTTCTGATTTCTAAATGAAGTTACTCGTCGATGTGGACACGCTAAAACCTTTGGGACCACCTTACGTATATCATGCCCATGCAACGGATCACTTTATAGAACTTACACCTGCAGCGCCATGCTTGCAAAATGCCATGCACCCAGCTCTTCCTTTGCTCACACATACATCAACGCTGGTTGCCATTGCCATGCAAAATAGTGCGACCAATAAAAGTATGATCTTCATTTGTATTTATCCTGAAAATATATTGAAATAAAGTATTTCCTTCAAACACATCGACACCTTCAACGAAGCTGTTAGTTTCAAACTCTGTATAATTAGCAAGCCATTGCAGAAAGGCATTGGTATCCACAACGCATAATTGCGGTCTAGCATCCGCGCGATTTGATCTGGGAAATGGCAGTTTCTGAAGAGCTGCCTCGAGTGTGCGCCAAAAATTCTCACAATTTTTCTAGCTTTCAAGCCGGGTAGTGCTATTACTCCTCTTCCTAACCAGTTACGTTGCTATAAACTATTAGAGTGTAAAATTTTCGTTACATCTAATTTTCTATAGCGATCAGTCATAAAGTTAACATTTTCAATAGGGGTCCAGAGCACCATTGATAGAGCAAAGCAAACTCTACAAGAGGGTCCGCAAAAGTTTGCACCAAATTCGACCCACTGTAAGTTTATACCAAAATCCGTGTTCGTGGTGCAGGCTCGAAATGCTTGGAAAATTCGTATCTCTGTTCAAAAAATCCTAAAAATCCTCCTAGGATCTCCGACTTAGTCACAAAAATTGCACACTACATCAGACACTCTTATTTACCGTTCCTGTATTTCCTCTTCATCAAACGAGAAAATTAAAACTTATGCTGTTTTCACTTCTGCTATTAGGTTGTAAAGAAAGTTCTCGGGAACTTTCAGAAACTTCATTTTCTGACGCAGTTTCTGGCGCTCGTCGGACTTTGACACCAAGTTTTCCATACTGTTAGTAGAAGGAAGCCTATGGTTTTCAAAACCGCTTCTGATTTTTATCGATGCTCCCAAAGTGTTTGGTCTGCACATCAAAAAAGGAAATCTTTCCAACCATGAAAATTTCACAGTTTCTCTTCCTACGGCCATTTTTTGGTGCAGTTCGAGAAATTTCGTCCAAATCATGAGAGTTCTTAATGAGGAGTCTGCTCTCTGCTTATCCGTAGCTGCACTCCTCGAGTTTTGCGATTTGTGCTCAGATATTACAAGCTGTCGAATGCCTCTGACTGCAACTCTTTTCGCAGCTGACGTCGCTTCTGCAGGGATCGCCACGCCTGAATGATGGGTCCGAAAGATGTGACATTACCCCAACAATTTTCGCAGTAATCAAAAATTTGGTCCGCCCTGTGAATTAGAAGACTTCAAAGTTACTTACTCGAAAAATGGTGCATCTTTAGGGGCAAAAAATGGTTAATTTTTAGACTTGAATTCTTTGTAGGTGGTCCTTCAAAAACATGATTGGTCCCCATAACAGCAGCCCCAGCAGACTTCTTTTCAACTACAGCATCTGAGGTCTTCAGCTGTTATCCTGCCTGAGATAATCCTGCACAAATAAGCCACTTTTTGCGTCATCTTTCTCCCTTCTGCGCTTGCTAGTGGACCGCTATGAGGTGCCGAAAAGCCAGCACGACAAATATATGTTGTAGACGAAATTCTCTTTGCAGCGAAATTTGCATCTCTGAAAAAGGATCCATCTTCTCGAAGTTACAGCGATTTGAGAAAAAAATTCGCAAGTGCCCCGGAACTTTCTTTACCCAATACAAGCGCATAGGTGTACAACGGTAGGTTTTCAGTTTTCCACAGGCCCTAGTTTTCATTCCGAACTTAGCTCTCCTCATCGGGTTTCCATGCTAAAGTCATTATTTCTCGAAAACTAGGGCTTGAGGAAAGCTTTCTGTTATACTTTTCCAGGGGATTGTAGTATACAATTACATGATTGGAAACAGCATAGCTTCCTTTTTAGATAAATAAAATTTTTCGTTTTCTCATTTTCTGGGCAGAGAAAATTACAGGAATGGTATATATGAATATCTGATGCAGCGTGCAATTTTTGTGACCAAGTTTGAGATTCGTAGGATTTTTTTAAAGCGAAGATATGAATTTTTCGCGATTCTTTGAGCCTTCAGCACGACTCAGATTTTGGATGCAAAGTCACGGTGGGTGGTTCGTGCGGACTTTTGCACAACATCTTGTAAAGCTTGCTTTGCTCTATCGAACGGCTCTGTACCCATATCAAAAAAAATGGACTGTATGACTTATCTTCATAAGAAATTGAATGTAGGACTTAAGTTACCAACTAATACAAAAGTAAATATACGCTTTTCAATCGTTAATAACTTTCTTCCCACAAAGAATCTTCCGTTTAGCTTTAAAAGCAGCGTCCCGGCAAAAAAATGGGTGCCGGGTTTTTGTAGCGATGTTAAAGTAGACCCCTTACCTAAGCGATGACTGAAGTTCGGAGCGAAAGAGGGGGTCTACCAAGCCTGAAATTTGCTCCGAAAGTGGCCCGAATCTTACTGTGGGCGCGAACGCCGCCACATAGCAATATCGATTTGCAAGGCCAGAGTGCGTAGAGCGCACACAGTCATGAGCGCAGGGTCCCGCAACGACTCTGTGTGACCTTGCGACGACAGCCTTGCAACGACCTTGCATGCATCTCGCACTCGTCCGAGCCTACCGTAAGATTTGGGTCACTTGAGGGGCGGTTTGTAGACTTCGTAGACCTCCTTTCGCGCTGCAAACTTCTGTTGTCGCTTGGTTAGGGGGTCTTACGTTAGCTAGGCACGCCCCGTCTGGTGGGACGCTGCCTTTAGGCACTATTCAGTAGAGCAGCTTCAGTTTAGATCAACAGTATGGAGCGAATCTCTTCGTTGCTGTAGGATTACGGTAGGAACTTCTGAGAGAATTGGAACCATCAATGGCTACATTTCGATTCAGAATGGAGACTCAGCAAACTAAAACTTTTATCGTTAGACTAAACTTAATAGCTGATTATGAATATGAAGTTTGCATTTTACCGAAAAGTGTGTTAGGTAAACCGCGATAAATGTTTCTCAGTGCTTTCCAAAAATGTGCTTAGACCATTTTCAGCGCTTTAAAAACTCTTAAGAGGTTGTTTATGAGGTCAGCATTTCTGGGAACACTGCTATACAGCTTTTCAAAGTTAGAATTCATTTTCAGACGGCCTATTTTACAAGGCGCTGTATGTTGAAAGTATCTAGAGTGATCCTACTGTAATGAAAAGCAATAGGTGTACTTCACTTTGTATTGTAAACCTGGGGGAGAGGTTGAAAAGTTTAAAAAGTTGAAGCCTGCCCTACTGAATATTATTTGAATAAACAAAAGACTTTTTGGCAAGAGAACTATCAATGATCCAAAAGTGGTACTTACTTTGGGAAAATCTGTATGTTATTGATATAATGAGATTAGTCTGTGCATCGCTGCTTAAATCATTCAGAATAAGGCTGTATTTTGTTTTGCTTTCTCGATCAACCCTTTCAGTCTTCGCCGTTGGCTTTCGTCTTAGGTGTTTTGAACAGACGTGGTATGAGCGGAATTGCAGCTTCTCCCATCGAGGATTTAAGAACCTTTTGTGAGAGAAGTCGTACTGCACAGGTACGCCCTTAGTACGAGAAACTCATAAGCAAACATTGTGCAAATGGCGATACAAAAACGTCCATGACAGTAGACCACAGAAAATCATGCTTGACAACGAAGTAGTTTTACTGGTAAAGACGGACAGGAGAGGCAAACTGATACTGCAACACAAATAGAGACTATTTTTCAGGCTCTACAAAAGAAGGAAAGTAATGCTGTTGTTGAGTGGTGTCCACACCGGTGGTGCACGAAATTTATACTACTTCAATTTATACTGTTTCTAAGAAATTTTTTTATAGAAGGGGGTAAGTAAGAACCTTCTTGCACCACGTCACTGTTAACAACGTTAACACCCATTGTGAATCAGCCTGCTGTCGTTCTCAGCAAAGAACAGTCCATTACTAATGCGCGATTGATAACGTGTACTCCAAAAATCAGCGTTAACGTTGTTAACAGTGACGTGGTGCAGCATTATTTCCTTAAAAGTTTCGAATATGTCTGGAAAAACAAAAGTTTTGAATATGTCTGGAAAAATTGTTTCACAATTTCGTTTTGGCTTGGTGTTGTGAAATGCCTGGTAATTGGTCATTGACCGCTGTCGCTGTTACGGTGCCACTACAGCCACCGTTATTTCTTGTAGTTATTGCTACCTTTTACCAAATTGTTACTAAAATTTGCAAAGAAAATCCAATGTTATTTTTTGATTGATTCTATCAATCGTTCTCTACCCGACGATTTTTGTGATCGAAACATATATTTTGAGTTCGAAAAAGTGGAGCTTTGACTAATCGTCTGATGTCCGCTGATCATAAAGAGTGACGTAAATTGACAAAGTCAAAACAGAGGAATATGCATCAAGCTTCAATCGTAAAATCTCAATGTTTTAATTCGATGAAGTGATTGTCATTTTTTTAGTACCATCATCGTGAAGCAAACATTTCGATTTCTGATGCTTTCTGTTCATTGTTGGAAAACATCAGAAATGGGAGCCTGATAACACATTCTACAATTCTTTTTGAACTTTTTAGTTGAACATGATGCAGAGAACAAAGCAATAGAAGAGTCTTTATATGAGCGACAACTTTATGTCATTTATGAGTATGTTTGCATGCGATATATTTTACGAGTAAAAGAAAAATTTGGCAAAGCTTGTACAAATCAAAAAGAATCCAAAATTTAGACTTTTATTATAAGACTGAATCAGCTTGCTTGCACCATTCCATAACCAGTGTAGGCTTTTTCCAAAAAATCTTGGCAATGAAGAGGGGAGGAGAGGGGGGGGGGGAGACATCGGTTAACACTGCTTTGACCGACTCCGACAAAACATTGCAGAAGTCCACATTGAGCCGATCAGATATCATATACTTTTAGCCATAGACCCGATACTTACTGATAAAAGGAACAAGAAGTCGCTAATACAAATGATTTGGATGTATCTGAATATGCAGGAGGGCAGTTTTCATGACCTTAAACAAAAACCGAGTTTTTGCAGAATCCAAGAAGGAGCTGAAGGTCTTGGCACTGGGAGTGCGTGAGAATGCTTATCACAAATAGAATGACCTTGTCGATTTTTTCGCTTCTCTGCAACTATTGAAAGGTGGAGTCAGGAATTCTTAGAA